AAAAACCGTTGGGATATTATTTAATTATACCCTTCTCTCAGTGTATTTGGTTCCATATAGCGATCGTTTTGTACTAATTGCCTAGGAAGACGTCTTGCACCAATGCAATATTTGGTCTTTATGATGAATGCGGAAGTTAAAGATGAAACAAAATATTCAACCCTTCTGTATATTTACATATACATTTACTCTATGAATTTTCATACGAAAATCAAAATAGCCAAAGATAAGTGACTGTCGTTCGCTTGCCAAGAAAATATGCTAGACTGCACTGGTTTCGCTAGTCAAAGTTTACCATTTATACAAATTCTTAAAATTCCATTCGAAAATATTTCGATGATCGCAGTATTGATGCGCATATTTGTCTAGCTAGATTTATCGCAAACGAATTATCATTTGTGTTTGTGCAACTCATAGAGAAACGCACTAATAAATAAATAATAATACATATAATTGACAAAAAAAAAAGAAATTTCAATAGCAACCGCATTTCAGTGCCAAAGTTGGTACCAGACGCTGTATTAGAGCTTGCTATTGTTCCTTCCTATGGATTCTTTCACATCTACTTTACCTTGTAAAAATATCCTTAACGCAAAAACCATCCATTTTATATTTAAACCATGTGGTTTTTGTAAATTCCTGGACGCTTTTAAATATCTATGCATACTTAGATATGTATATACATTCGTACACTCCCTCCTACACACTTACATACATATTTAATGGCTTCAACTTCCATCTCGTCTACCGCAGTTCCCATACCCATTCATCTTTGCCTGCAATCACACCTTGACAACAAAACAACAACAATGTAACCGAAACACACCTGCCACTCTCTAAGGTCACATGTTGACTGGTGTCGTGGACTGAAAATGGTTTTGCATAGTCCGTTGCCTCGTAAATCGAAAATCTCTCCGTAATCTATTGGCGTGGTTTTGCCAGCTTCCCTATGTTTTGTCTATGTAATTCCATTGAGGAGTTGTATTTTGTATTGCTGTAAAATATGTATGTATGTATGTTTGTTTTAGTGAGTTGTGAGTACTTTTTCTCGGCTTTGCCACATACCGCTAAATTCAATTTTTCTTTCGCACATTCTTGGCGATTGCTACATACATATATATGCATATAAACACAGACAACGTAACTACGAACGTATTTGCTCTACTGAAAATGCATCTTTTTGGGGAAGGAGGGACGGGGGTATACTTTAGGATGCTGTACGATTCATCTTAGCTTATAGAACAGTGTCTAAATATAAAAATGAATATTGTAAAAGTTCTAACTAAGTATAAATGCAGGAGAATTACCTAAATACCAACAGAAATAACAATTATAAACACCATACCAAATACTATACCAATACCAACACTGATACCAAAACCAATACCATATTAAATACCGAAAGAATTACCAATACCAGTTTCAATATTGAAAGCAATACAAATACCACCGCAAGGACGGATTGGTGTAATCCTTCTTACCAAAGTCGATACCAATATCAACCCCACTTCCAATACTTATAGCAACCAATACCGTTTTCAATACCGAAAGTAATGCAAATACCAACACCAACACCAATACTCCTTGCAAAAGCCGATACAAATACTAATGCCAATACTAATACTAAAGTCCGAATCCAATTCTAATTGCAATACCAAATCCAATACCAATACCAATAGCAATACCAATGCCAATACCAATACAAATACCAGTACCCATGCAAATAATACCAATCCCAATTCTAATTCTAATACCAAAACTAACACCAATACCGATATCAATACCAATACCAATACCGACACCAACATCAATACCAATACCAGTACCAATACCTATATTCACAAACCCAATTTCCATCAATTTCTTCCAATAGTCGTTTACACTTTGCTCCACTACCTACGCGCCGACTTTTTCAACAACAATAAGTCTCATCTAACACTACAGCGGAGTTGTGCCAGTCCAAAAGTTTTGACTCAATGATTTTTAGAAGTTGTTGTTGTACCCGTATTTTAAACAGTAAGTGGTTGAGTGCCAACGTGGGCAAAGTTGAAAACAAACAGATAGACAGACGCGCCAGCAATAAAAAACATTGAATACACGCATTTGCCTATAAACTATGAAGTACTCGCAGACAGTGGAACAAAATAAATAAAGTTGGTAAACAAGCGATCGGCAGTTTAAAAGTAGGACAACAAAGGCGGCGAAGAACACTGCCAACCAGTAAGTAAGCTAGACGTGGCACTCTCGTCCGGACCACCCACAAGCGTTTGGGGCAGCAGTACTTGCACCTTTTTTCCTTCCACAATTCCAGCACGCCACCTCCTGCGAGGTATAAAGAAAGCATGGATGGTTTGTTTCGCTTTTTGTTTGTGCAATTTTTAGCGGTTTGGCTTGCTCCAACTCTTCGGGGTGGTGTGACCGATGCTCTGCGCCTTCGCGTATTTATTTTTCACAATTTCCATTGCGAGGGGAACACCGCAACCAACATCACGTTGGTGGCTGCCAGGATGTGCGGTTGGGCGCGTAACCTACAAGTAAATCCATAAAATGTAAAATGCAAATTTATTTATGTGCGTTCGATGCCAAAGCGACAAGAGCATAAACATGAAAACAGAATGAGGCGGAGAAGGGCTGCAGTCTGGCGAATGGGAGCTTCAGCCATCCGTTAGCTGCCAACTCTCAACCTGCCTGCCAACCGCTAACGTATCACCGATTGACCGACCGATCGACCGCCCTCATCAACCTTTTTAACTAACAAACAAAGATGCGCCAGTTACACACATACATAAATACGTATTTATAGAGGCAGGTTGCGGGTACTCTAGGCGGCATTGTCTGTGCTCTGAAGCGCTGTAAATAATGGCCAAGCGCAGTCGTTTTGAAAGCAATGAACAAAGAATCAATGAACGCATAAGTGAGCGTGCGGCCTCCGTATAACGGGCAATGTGAAATACATAAACGGTAAAGGATTTTGATATTGGAATTAATTGGGTGATAATTAGAAAGCATCTTACCAAAGAATTGTACTTTATTGTTGAGTTGTAGTGTGGCGCGTGTGTGTGACGGAGCAATGCACACAAATACTAGGCATTTGACTATCTACATAAAAGGGCGAGGTTTGTGGTTGAATCTGTTTTAGGATTCATGAATTTCATGAACCGCTTTTTCTGACAGGAATTCCTTTGCGTAATTTCTCAACCAGAACGTGCTTTGAATTTAAATTATTTTGTTGATAACATATTGTTGTTGTTCTACAAAACTTAAGTGGTTAATTTATTATTATTCGGCTGAAAATTTGCGCTATTATTATTTTTTTTTTTTGAATAATTTTTCGTTTATCGATTTTTTGCCGACGGCGAAGAAACAGCCAACAGCGTGGCGAAATCGTAAATGGGGAAGAGACATTTTAGCATTTTCTGCTACTTGTCCTTGCTTAAAAAAATGTTAATTCTTTTTTTTTATGGAAATATAGCATACTACCAAAAAAAAAAACATTTAGATCAAAATATCAAACTTTGTAGAACATTTATAAATATTCAATTTTAAACTTTCTGTGACAATTAAATTTTATTATAACAAAGTGCAAGTTTGAAGTAGCAACTTTTTGTTCGCATATTTTTTCCGTACAAAGCATGTTCGAAATTTTTTTTTGTATGGATAAAATAAACAACACCTTCAAATCAACCTTCACAAAAATCAACGGTCAATCCTAGCTACTTAAAATTTACGCTGTTTTACTATAGAATAATTTATATGCAAAGTTTGAAATTTTTTTAGATAGCGAGCACTTCCTAAAAACATAATAAAAAGTAAATAATCGAAATGAAAATAGCCACAAAATACTAAAATGTCTATTCTCTATTTATATTTCCGCCTCTGTATCTGCGTATTTATAATGAATTCTTGTTACTGTATTCACACATAACTAAGTATGCAGTTTTATTAGAACACGTTCTGTTAATTAAATGCTACTTAAAAAAAAAATCAGGTTTTCAGAAATATCAACTGACCAAATAAGCCTTTTAATTTACTTATCTTAATTACTTTTTACTGTTATGCATCGCCTCGCACAGACCACCAAAGTACAGGTTTAAAGAAAAAACTACGACAATATTTCATAGCTAACCCCCGGTGTCTGGTCTGTATAGGTGGTAGCTACTTTCCGGTTCGGTAGCAAGCCTACCGTTATTCGTAGTTATTTGTTCTGCATAGCTTGCAAATTGTATCATTGGTCGGGGCAAACATAAAGGCCTGTGAAACAAACAGTGCAGTTAGTAACTTTGCAATGAACTAGAAGTGGACCAAATGAAGGGAATCTTCTGTAGTGTGGCTGAGGCGCACTAATGCCAATTCTTCTTTTTTTGTTACTGTTTCTGTGTTTTCTTAATTTTTATTATTGATGAAAAGAAAATGCAAAATAAAAGTAAAAAAAAAATCATAGTCATTTCAAGGCAGGAGGTTTTTCGGTTGGTACCTTTTAACGTCATAATTTGCACGACAGTAACAGGCACTCTTTAAATATGAAACATGTTTAAAGTATTTCTACAGAAATTAATTTCTCGTAAAAAATTTTGTTCACTTTTAATTTATTTTTTCCAAACTGCTATAATTTCGGTTTAGTAACGTCTTTCCATAAAGCTGCAACTTTTGTATGTCAATAGTTATGTTACCCACTATTTGTATCAATCACAAAGTGTCTACTCTCGAAAGTACAAGTGGTTCCCCCTTATAGCGAATGGGGAAAATTATTGCAGCTAATTTACCATGGGACAACGTAAAACCTTAACAAATACGTATTAATCCTTCATAGCAAAAGTAAATAACTTTCAGTCGATAAGAGAAAACTAATCAGTCCAACGACGCCGAAGCACTTTACTTCATGAGTGCAATTATCTGCAAATACTTTTGTTCATGTACATACATACATACATACTTACATACATACATACATACTTATGCCATATGTGTTTGTTTGTGTTTCGTTTTCATGCACATTGCAGGTTCAGCTAAACAACTGGAAAATACAGAGCTCTCCAATGGCATTGTCCAAGACGAACCGGAGATAATCGCCCAACAGACCGATAAAGTTGATATACTTCTACATTGTATTAAATCATCAACGCGTGATGCCGCTTGGATTTATGGACAAGTGTTGTGCCAAATTATACGTGATTTAGTGCCACCGAATGAAATATTGACGAAGGTCATAAAAGAGTTTCTAGCCATAAATCAACCGCATTGCGATGTTATTGCAATGATTGTGTATCAGGTAAGTCATATGTACATACATACACACATACATACATATGTACATTCTATATACTGACGTTAGACGTCGCTTTTAGAAATAAGAATATATTTCATATGTATGTCTGTATGCAAGCAAGTAATTTACATATAACAAAAGAGCTGCACTGTATCATTGAAATGGTTGCTTTGGTACTGCGGGGTGTTGAATGTTGAATTGTGCGCGCAAATTTCGAGTTCAAAAGAGTCACCTCGGCGCAGCTACATATACAACATACTCGTATACGCGCAGTGTCATGTGGCATGGAGCTGGCTGCTTCGAATTATACACTGAGTTGCTCTTTCATACACACATACTACGCTAGCAGTAAATGATTTTCAAACAATGGCAGCCGTGTGTAGATCCTGAATTCAACGGTTTCATATGTGTGTTGCATGTAAGCTGTAAATGGTAGAGAGAGTTGGTTATGACTTTGTGTTGCTATTTCTGTTGTCGTGTTGCCGTTGGCGCTCTAACAAACGTATGAGCTTTAGTCACTTTTTAGGGTCGTGTGCTGCTTTATTAGAATTTGAGTTTCGGTTTTACGTTTTTTTTTTTTTGATTTTTTATCTGTGCCACTGATATTCCTTGTGTTCCGTAAGCGTTTGTTACACATTTGTTTGTGCGTCGGCAAGTGCTTTTGCCATTAGTTTGCACTCCTTTTATCGCACAACATAATAAAAACTCAGTTTTCGAGGGGAGAAATGGGCAACAGGAATTTGTATAGCAAACTTTTAAATCTTTAGTATGCAGAATGATCTCAAAAAGTTCAAGTTCAAAGGATTTCATTGTAAGCATAGCCAAGTGGGTTTGTCTGATCTTCAGAGCTATTTATGAGTTCAGCGACGAAGCACCATAACCAACAACTCAGTTCATAGGGCTTATCTTGATAAACAGAATATTTTGGGGTTCCCCACAATATTTTTTTGCCCAGTAGGATGTTTCAAAATACATAGTAGCTCTACCACCTTTTTCTCTTATTGCCAACTTTTTTTTGTACTGACTGACTCGTTTCAAATTAAATCGGTAAAATCGAAAAAGCTGGGTCGCTATGCTTTTAGTATGTCTGCTGCTTTATTTTTTTTTACTCGCCACTTCTGGCGATTACTGGCTGTGAACCTGTGTTTGCATCAATGCCCGTGTAATGCTGAAATGGTGCGACCAACATAACCAAGCTAAACTTAGCGGAAATAATTGGCGGTGCGCCACTTGAGTCAAGGAGCGCACCCAGCTATATAGACACACAAATACATTTGAATACCCTGCAGTAAAAAGCCGAAATCAGCCAACTGGCGAAATCCGAATATTTAAGTAACTGGTTTGGCGTGTCAATAGAGACTCTGCATAGGACCTCCCATCTGCATAAAATTCTATTTAAGAATCATTCAATGGGACCGGACTTGTAAGGAGAAATAACAGAATTTTTACTTAAACAACTGTAAGGTTCTGAAGTACTGGATTCAAGTGCAGGATCCAGTTTTTGCGATGAAATCCACCTTAATGAGTCATAGAAGATCTGGCTCCTTTTTGACACAGACGAAGTACGGTAGTCATTCGAGTCCTTTGAATGATTCAAAGCCGATTTTGATGTGTGTGCCTTTTCAACACTAAATTTATATTTGGGAAAACTTTTCCGTGCACTTGGTGGAATGTATTAGTCTTCTTTTTTCATATTGGAATTTTTTAAGGATATTCAAGGATACAATTTTAAAATGACATTTTCAACACCTATGCGTTCTTGCACACCACAAAAGTTAATATTTTGCAATTCTACAGAATCTTCTGGTTTCATTTGTTGCCCATATGTTACATGCATACATTTAACTAGATTTAGTAATTAGTGATATCCTTGAAATTTCAAAGTCCTTTGAAAAAATTTCTGACGGCAAAGAAAAAGACCTATAACGCAGTACTACTTTATGTGGCCCCTAGTTTCGCGAGCTTATTGATTTTTTTATGTGTAAATTTTACTGTCGCACGGTGGAACAATCGTTATATTATTGTTCTTTTATTTTTTCGATCATATTATAACCGTTATTTACCGATTTAATATTTTAGATCATATTTAAGAGATTAAAAATTCAGTTTCTTAAAATTAAAAATCGCAAAGTAACAACTAAATTGTACCGAAAAAAATAAATAAAAATTCGATGAGGTCGCAACGTTCTAAAAATATAAATCTTTATATTTAACGGTTATTTAGGTTCCTGCTCGTAAGCGATGATAACGTTCTTCCCCGTTAGTTATTATGACTGCTGTAGCAGTGCTAGCAAAACAGAATTCATTGCTTTAAGTGGTCATCCATTTTTCTGACTACCCCGACGACTGACATGGCGTTACTAGTGTTTCTAATGGCTAGAGCTGATGTATAGAGTGCCTATAGGCAGTTCGTACTACAAACCTTGCCATGTTATAAATATTTACCTGTTGCTAATTAGAAAAAAAAAAATCGGGGGAGAACTTGGTAGTTGAGTTTCAAAGCCTTCTCTTAAATAGTACTCTAGTTCGCAACTAGTACCTTTCACTGCCTGATACTTCGCGTTAGCCATTAGTTTCGCCGCATGTGTATGTGTGTATCCTTGCAACATGTGTAACGTTAGCCGTTATCAATCTCACATACATACATACATATGTTTCATTGTTTGCATTTGTATGCGAGTAAGCGATTTTTTTTCCGCAATCACAAAATTAATGACAACCTAAATGTGGAACTACAAGCCACAGACATGCCAGTGAACATTAGACACGCACACATACACACACCCACACACACACACACACAGACCTACGCACATGCAAGCACCTAGAGATTTTACTGCATTTGGGTCAACAGTGTCGGTTCTCTGGCTTGCTGCATCCCTGCTTTATATGTATGTGTATTAGGGTGGTCCAAAGTAAGTAAAGTCGGAATTTTTATGCTCTCAACCCCTAGGATGGTTATTTATCGAAAAAAGTAACCCTACTACCAAAGCGCTCAAAATTTTCCATGTATTTTATATGAAAAAAAGAAATGGTACGGAATTCTTGAAAATCACCATTTTTCGATCGGAAAGCTCTGTTTCTCTTCAGGAGACTTCCAATAAAAATATCTAATTGTTTTTTTTTAATTTTTGAATACTATTTTTTTTATGTATCCCTCCATTGTATGTTCAGGCATTTTCTGCGGGTTTTGGCGGACATATAAAATATAGTTACAATAAAAAAATGGCGAAATAAATAATTGGGTATTATTATTGGCAATCTCTTGAAGAGAAACAGAATTCCGTACCATTTCTACAAAAAGCGGGGTAAATTTTTTAATTATTATTATTTTCTTCTTAGAGGGTGAGAGCATAAAAAATCCGACTTACTTTTCCACATGCATTTTGGGACAACCCTTATGCACATACATATGCCTATATGTTTATGGGGTGTGGAAGGCAATAAAAATCTTCATTAGTCTAATAAACGTGCACGTCTCGAGGTTCAAGGTTGTAAATCTGAAACGTGAGCGCACTGCTTTATGTTCTTTTTTTTGGCTCTCATTTTTGCAGATTTAATTTTATTTTTGGGGTTTGAAATTGTTCATTCCACTTCTTATAGTTTTATTGTGTGCTTTTAAGCTTCAGCTTTGAGCTTTGCTAAACTTTTTTTAAATAGTTTTATTGCATTTTTCATCAATATATTTTCTCCACAAGTACTTTCAATTTCTCGCATTTGATTTTTGCGTGCCGAAGCGAAAGTGTAGCGCACAAATTTCGCTAAACGCATTTAATTCGCATTTCGTACTTCTCGCTTCTGCTTTAAATATTTGCCTTTGAAATTTCTATATTGTTTACCTATTCTCTTTGCACAAGCAATTTCGAAAGATTTTTCTTTTTTCTTTCTAAGCGTATTCGACACACTTTTAGCAGCAGTTGGCTTTAAGTGTTCCAATAGTAGTGGCACTAGTGCTCTGCTCCAACCTCGATTCTTTCATTATTGTTTTTTTTTTTTTGGCATCGCTTGGTCAGTAGTTGTTGCAGTTGCTTTATTGCTGTGCGTAGAGCTGCAGCTACTTTCGTGCAACAAAAACCCAATTTTGCCGTCTTCTTGATTTTTCGTAATTTGCCGCCTTAACATTTTCCGGCGTGGCCGTATTTCTTTTACATTGCTACAAACTGTTGGTGCATATTCAACCTTCCACATTCAACATTTAACATTCCGTTCATCCAACATGCAACATTCTTTGCTCGCCCACCCAACGTGCACCAGTATTCAGCATTTAATTTCCTCTACTTTTTCAGTCAGCTTCCTTACTTGCACTACAATTCATTTGATTTACTTGCATATTTTTCTTTTTTGCTCTCATTTTTCACC